GGGAGGGAGGGAGAAAAGGAGAAGAAGAGGGGAAAGGGGAGGAAAGGGAGGCGAGATTGGAGGTGGGGAGGGTACAGGAGATACACTGGTGTATGAAAGGCAGGATCGGGGTGTGAGAGCAAGGGAAGAGAAGAGACATAATAACCAAGATGGAGATGGAGATGGAGATGGAGATGACGATGACGAGGCGATGATGAGCCGATGATATAGCAAGATAGAGGGGGAGGCAGTAAGAGAGAAAGCGGCCATGGCTATCTGCGCTAGCAGAGCAAGATTTTTTTATCAAATAGATCCGAATTATATACAATATCACATCACTTTCCTTTCCTTTCTCTCCCTTCCCATTCCTTCCCTTTCCATTCCATTTCATTCCCTTCCACATACCGACCGGTATCTGGTATTCAAAACCCAATTCAGCCCAAGAGAACAGAACAGAACAGGATAATCACGAGAATCGTGAGATGAGGGCTATCTATCTTGTAGTATTATACAGTAGAGTAAAGTAAGAAATTTCACACACTCGTATAATATAAACTTGTTCCAAACCATTAATCAAATAAACCTCACTCTCGCTCTCACCTCTCAACTTTCAAGTATACAATCCCAATCCCAACCATAAAATACAACAGATTCCATCCCCTAGAGTTCGTTTCGCTATACATATTCCCTATACATATTCCTTATACACAACCACAATCCCAACCCCAACCATACAACAAATTCCATCCCCCAGAGTTCTCTATACATATTCTCTACTCCTATACATATTCTCCATACACATTATCCATACAAATTTCCAACAAACAAACAACCGCTTACAGTACTGCATTACATTACTCGAGTACATCAATACCAGCGCCCCTATTACTTTTACAATAATCAGATACAATTTATATTCGTACTTCACTCGTACAACAGTAATTAGTAATGTAAGCCATCAAATCATCGAATCCTTCTGTAATCAATCACTTGATGCCCAACTTAGTACCGGTAAGTAAGCCATTACTCACTCGTATGTTACCTCATTCTCATTCATACTCATACTCGCACCTCATTCACAATCACATTTTCACACCATAGCCTGAAAAGCCTCATCAATTCAAGTAGGTAGGTAGTACAACCAGACGGAAAAAACCCCATCTCATCTCATCTCATATTCCTCTACATACACGACATATACGCCCGCCATATTACTAATATTTATCTACCCTTTTTCGCCGGTCTAGCATTCTTTGCCTTTTTCATCTCCTGCACTTTCCTATCCTTGCGAATATCCTCCGTACTCCTGATTTCCGTCTTGCCCGATCCATCCTTGAATGAACCCACTCTCTTCTCCTTTGCCTCGGTCACCCTCTTCTTCCTTACGTGATAATCATCACGGTATTTATCTGCCTCCTTAGGCGCCCTTTCTTGCTTATGCTTATATCTGGTTCCGGCACCTCGTCCTACCCCACCAGCACTTGCAGGGCCTTCGCGTTCTGCATCACCGGTTCGTGGCATACGGTCCACCTTGTTTGCTTTGCGCCATCTGTCAAATCGACCACTCTGGAAACTTGCGGCAATCTTTTGACCACTTTCTCCGCGAATGTACTTGGTTCCTTTGGATCCATCTTCATCGTTTGCTCGGGCGACATATTTGCTGTTCTTTTTATCCCATCTCATTCCCTTTGCCCTGGAGGGTTCGGCAAACGATTTTGCCCCGTCATCATTAGTAAGGTCCATGGTTACGCCCCTAGCTGCTTCGACGAAATTGGAGTTTTGAGATGCTGTGTTGTAGGAACCGGAGTGAACACCGTATCCACGTTCTTCGGCTGTATTGATAGTCTTCGGTGTGTATGACATGAAATTATCGTCGTCTTTCCAAGCAAGTGTTCGACCTTTGCCTTTTTGAGCTGCCTTCGAGAATGTAAGTTCAAGCTCACCGTCAGATGCATCGGCCATGTCGTCATCTTCTCCCCCAGTAACTGTGACGCCAAGATCATCATCATCGTCTGCCTCCGCTGGAAAATCGTCGTTATCTCCCTCTGCTGCCGCAGCAGCAGCCTTTTGATCCTCCTCCTTCTGTCTCCGGGGAATGATTTTTTCCCTTCGATGGCGCATAATTTCTGCAGCTTCACTGTGGGCGGTTTTTCCCTTTTGCCCTATTTCGAAGACAGTCTCATTCGGCCGGAATCCACTAATTTTTGCAAGCATGTCCAATCGAGCTTGTTCGGCACCATTGGTTACATCTTTGAAAAGTGGATGTAATTCCATCCATCCTTTTGACCCTACGACTTCCTTGGCTCTCTTCGCACTTTCGTTGGATGCCGAATTACGAGTCTTGACGTAAAGTCTCTCTCCTTTGATCGATACATTTCGAAGGGCAGTAAGATCATCATCATCATAGAGAAGTTTCGTGATCCATTCCGATTTGCTTTCAATCTCATTTCTTTGTAAAGCGCCAACAATTACATCTTCAGCATAGTCTGGCGAATTACTGCCCTGGCGTCCGAGAAGTAATCTCCTTCCAAGAAAGAGTTGTAGATCAAGGAGATATGGCGCATCAGTATCTCTAACCAGACTGTAACTCCAACCCCGTTGACCAGCTCTTGCCGTACGTCCGACTCGATGAACAAAAACCTTAGGTTGTGGTGGGAAATCGTAATTGATGACATTTGCTAAAACTGGAATATCAATACCTCTAGCAGCGACATCGGTAACTACCAATATATTTGATTTTCCAGTACGGAAATCTTCAACCTGAATATTTCTAGCCGTCTGATCGAGTGAACCATAAGCATGAGAAACGGCAAATCCAGACATGCGAAGGAGAGAAGCGAGATAGTCGACGTGATGCTTTGTGGCTGCGAATATGATTGTTGAATGCTCCGTGGGCTTAAGTTTCTTCATTGGGCCATCAGAGCCTCTCTTGCGCTTCTTGTCAAAGCTGTTTGTTGCATTCAATGCATTCTCTGGGAGGCCGACAGGCATTTTGACCAAATCTTGGAGGATATGCAATAAAGCACCTTCTTTTTCGGCACCTTTAACACTAAAATATGCACTCTGGAGATCCGGGGAGACTTTGCTTTCGGCATCGAGACGAACCAAACTTGGCTCTTGAAGACCAGCTCTGGCAAATTCTACCAAGGACTTTGGTAAGGTCGCAGAAAACAGTAAAGTTTGTCTTGAAATCGGCAGGGCATGTAGAATTTCGCCAAGTTGAGCAGCAAATCCCATCTCGAATAGACGATCGGCTTCATCAAAAACGACATATTTCATCGATGATAAGTCCAAGGACATTTCAACCTTCAAATGTAAAAATCGACCAGGCGTAGCAATAACAATATCGGGATTGGCGGCCATAAACCCGAATTGTTCTTCGAGACTGTCACCTCCAACAAGTAGGACACATTTAAGATCAGTTCCTTTTCCGAATTCCTTGACGACCTTCAATGTTTGCAATGCCAATTCTCGGGATGGCGACATAATCAAAGCTCTTGCACCAACACGTGCACTATGAGCTCTTAACTTTTCAATCATGGGAATGACGAAAGCCGCAGTCTTTCCGGAACCTGTTCTAGCCATACCAACAACATCTTGATTATCGAGGACTAAGGGTATCGTTTTTCGTTGAATCGGTGTAGGTACATTGAATCCTTTTCTACCAATTGCCTTTAACAGACGAGGGTTCAATCCTTGGCTGAGAATTAGTATAGTTGCGCATAATACAAATTGAGAAATTTCCCATACCCATTGCTTGAAATCCACCACCCTTCTTGGCACTCTGCCCTTTAACATTCGACGACTTTCGGTTCGCAGCCGCTTGCTGTGCCGATATGAAAGCTCCATCACCGTCCCCATCACTCTCAAGCCCCAAATCCAGTATACCGTTAGCATCCAAGGGCTCTACATTTTTAGTAGTTGTGTTTCCGAAATCGTCATCATCTCCATCGAGATCATCATTGAAAAGAGATTTTGTGATATCGAAATCGTTTTCTGAAAGCGTTGGGGATGCTGCACGACGAGGCATCTTGATTGTCGTAATTTTCAATAGCGCACCCACAGCAACGATGTTGAAGATATCCAAAATCTTATCAGTTCAACTTTTTTTTTTAAATATGGCCCGTGCCACAATTCACCGCCTTTATTAGCTCTAAACCTTAAGTTTTATAGGAAAATCTGCCCCGAGAGGGAAAAATATAAACTTTGAAATAATTTGGGTCATTCAGCGAGTGATTGACATTTGTACGGATTTGAATATCATGGCGCCACCAGTTGTCGGACATAAGTCCAAGAATGTTAGTAAGGGTAAAGATGATGCGCGAACTCTGAAAAGGAAAAGAGATGTAGAAGATCATGAGAAACTTCAAAAATCAGTTGATGAACTTGTAAGTGCAACCAAAACTCACTACCTTACCTTGGTTATCAACTATCGCTCACTCTCTTAGGATGTGAAAGCAGACTTAAAAAACTTCTCCGACCTCCCCCTATCTGAACCAACCTCATCTGGACTCGAAGCATCTCACTTCAAAACTCTCACGGACGTTCAATCGAAAGCTGTACCTCTCGCGCTGAAAGGAAAAGATATTCTGGGTGCTGCGAAAACTGGTAGTGGAAAGACTCTTGCATTTTTAGTACCGGTTTTGGAGAATCTTTACCGACAGAGATGGACCGAATTGGATGGCCTCGGTGCCCTCATCATATCGCCTACTCGAGAATTGGCAATACAAATCTTCGAGGTTCTTCGAAAGATTGGACGATACCACACTTTCTCGGCTGGACTAATCATTGGAGGTCGAAGTCTACAAGAGGAGAGGGAACGTTTGGGAAGGATGAATATACTTGTGTGTACACCTGGGCGCATGCTACAACATATGGACCAAACGGCGGCATTCGATGTGGACAATCTACAAATGCTAGTCCTAGATGAGGCGGATCGAATTATGGACATGGGATTTCAAACATCAGTCGATGCAATACTAGAACATCTACCAAAACAGAGGCAGACAATGCTATTCAGTGCCACGCAAACCAAAAAGGTGTCAGACCTAGGAAGATTGAGTTTGAAGGAACCCGAATATGTTGCAGTGCACGAAGCTGCATCATCCGCTACCCCCACGTCATTACAACAACATTACTGTGTAGTACCTCTACCTGCAAAGCTAAACACTCTTTTTGGCTTTATCCGAGCTAATCTGAAAGCTAAAATCATGGTATTTATGTCTTCAGGCAAGCAAGTGCGCTTTGTTTACGAGAGTTTAAGACATTTACAGCCTGGTATCCCATTGCTTCATCTACACGGTAGGCAAAAGCAAACTGCGAGGCTTGAAATAACCTCGAAATTCTCTTCATCTAAGAACTCTTGTATATTTGCTACCGATGTCGTTGCACGTGGTCTTGACTTTCCTGCGGTCGATTGGGTTATTCAATTAGATTGCCCTGAGGATGCTGATACCTATATTCACAGGGTTGGTCGAACTGCACGTTATGGAAAAGTAGGCCGGGCAGTTCTGTTCCTGGATCCCACAGAGGAAGAAGGCATGCTGAAACGACTGGAACATAAGAAAGTACCGATACAAAAGATCAACATCCGACCTAATAAGACCCAAGACATCAAAAACCAACTACAAAATATGTGTTTTCAAGATCCCGAGTTGAAATACCTAGGCCAGAAAGCGTTTGTCAGTTATGCCAAATCTGTCTACTTACAAAAGGACAAGGAGGTATTCAATATCAATGATGTTGATTTGGAAGGATTTGCATCGAGTATGGGTCTACCTGGTGCGCCGAAAATCAAATTTCAGAAAGGAAACGATGCGAAGAACATCAAAAATGCACCAAGAGGTGCTATAGAGTCTAGTGACGAGGACAGTGAAACCGAAAAGAAACCTAAGAAGAAGGATGAAGTACGAACGAAATACGATAGAATGTTTGAGCGCCGTAACCAGGATGTTTTGTCTGGTCATTACTCGAAGATGATCGCAGATGATACCCCTATGAAGGATGTGGATGGTACAGCGGATGCCGATGAGGACAATGATTTCTTGTCAGTCAAGAGAGTATTACCTGTGGATAAACTCGATAGCTCTGACGACGATGATGATGTTGCCGCGACTGGTCCATTAGGAAAGGTTATAGAGGGTATCAGCAAGGATCCTATCGTGATAGACTCTAAACGCAAAGAGAAATTATTGAAATCCAAGAAGAAGCTATTGAAGCTCAAAGACCGAGGAACCAAATTGGTATTCGATGAAGAAGGCAATCCTCATCAAGTATATGAATTGGAGGATGAAGAAGATTTCCGAGCCAGAGGCACAGCTGAGGAACAACGAGTCAAATTCTTGGGAGAGGAGGCTGAAAGAGTTCGTGAAGCAGATCTCCTTGATAAACAAACGGCCAAGGATAAGAAACGAGACAAGCGTGAGAAACGTAAAGCAAGAGAAGCAGCATTGGATGATGATAGCGAAGCGCCAGAATTGGATGATGCTGAAGGTGATGAAGATCCCATGGCTCTTCTCAGATCTTTGCCTCTACCAGAAGACGAGGAAGATGAGGAAGATGAGGATAGTACAGAAAGACCAGCGAAGAGACCTAAGAAATGGTTCGAGGATGATTCTGATGATGAGAGGAAGGTGGCCAAGAGAAAGAGTCGTGTTATTGAAGCGGCGGATGAGCCTGATACTTTGGAAGATCTTGAGGCTTTGGCTGCTGGTCTTCTTAATTAATGTTGGAGAAGGAATTAGCAGAAAATGTATAGATAGCGTTGATAATCGGATGGAAATGAAAACTTCTTATACCCCTTTACGAGTAATTACTTTTTGGTGTGAATATAATAATATTCTTCTCGCATATCATTGATCATTGACCCCCTCCCCTTCCCCCCCCCCAAATTATGACCCCTAAATTGATTGTAAAACTACCCCTCCATCCCTCCATCCCAACCCCCACATTTGAACAGTAACCCGAGTTTAGTCGCGGGAAATCAAACCCCACGCTACGATTGGTCAAGTTCGTCGGTTCGGGTCATCAAAAGCTTACCTAGGTACCTCACACCTCATATACTCACTCGTATCTAGGATAGGTACTCCGTACAGTCAGATTTCCACCTTTTTTATTTGAAGGCGCGGCTTCATCTACCTACGTTATCTTTTACGCATTACTCTTTACTTGTTACTTGTCACATACTACATATAGTAGTAAGCTTTTACATTTATATTTACATGTGCAAGAACAACAAGTACATGTACTTCGATAGAAAATAGAAAGTATACCTACCAGTCGTTTTCTGCTGCTGTTGTTTTGTGGTTGGTGAAGGAAGGATTGGATAGGTTTAAGGAAAGGAAAGGATAGGATTACTCCGTGAGGATACGGTATATGAATGCGATAGCGATAGCGAATGCGAAGAAAGAGTAATTAAAAGAGATAGATAGAGGAAAGAGAAATCGAAAGAGAAACAGAATCCGAAATGCAAGTCGGTGATGATAGTCATATTGAAAAGCAATGGCAGGCTGCTTGCGCTGAGGGTGGGGGTGGAGGTGGAGGTAGAGGTAGGGAAGCAGAAACAGATACGGGTGCGGATGTGAATACGGATGGGAATGGGAATTCGGCAAAATATATCGAGGATGGGGTAGGGAATGAGGATGAGGACGGGAATGGGAAGATGGATAAAGATGCGGCAAGCAATTTACTAGAGAGATGTAATGAGATTGCGCGCAGAGTAAATGGATTTCTAGAAGAAGAGTTTGGGGTGGAAGAAGAGGTGCTGAGGGGGGTGCAGGCGCAGACGAGGATTGCGCTGGGGGTTATTGGGGAGTGTTTGGATAGATATAGGTATGTTGTTTTTGTCGTATTTGTTTGAGAATGGTGTGCGAGGGGGTGAGTTGGGAGGGAGATGAGAGGAGAGGAGAGGTGTTAGGGTTTGGTTTGGTTTGGTTTGTGTGCGGGGGATTGAGGGGGGTGAGAGTGAGAGTTGGGGTTGATATTGAGGGGGATGTATGGATTGTTAGGATGGGATTGGATATATGCTAATGTTTCTGAATGGGATAGCTTGGAAGAAATATCATTTTCATATAACGGGGGAAAAGATTGTTTAGTTTTACTCATACTCCTCCTCGCCGCGCTTGCAAACCATCAATCCTCCTCCTCCACAACGCCTTCCACCACCACCACCACCACCGCCAAACCACCGCCCCTCCCCCTCCCCCCCAAACTCCCCTCCGTCTACATCCTCTCCCCGCACCCCTTCCCGGAAGTCGACACTTTTGTCTCCAGCTCCTCCACGCACTACCATCTAAGTCTCTCGCGCTATGCCGCTCCCATGAAACAAGCTTTCACGCAATATCTACACGACCATCCACATACCCAAGCGATTTTGGTCGGGACGCGGCGGACGGATCCGCATGGAGGCGATCTTACACATTTTGATATGACGGATGGGGGATGGCCTAGGTTTATGAGAGTGCATCCGGTGATCGATTGGCATTATCGGGAGATTTGGGGGGTGAGTGATTGATGATTTTTTTTGTTTGGGTTTTCTGTCTAATTCCGCATGTCTAATTCCTGTGATGCCGTGTTAATATCCATCAACCCAACAAAACAAAAACTAACACACCCCTTTTTCAACACAAATAGTTCATACGCCATCTACAAATCCCATACTGTCCGCTCTACGATCAAGGATATACGTCGTTAGGTGGCACAACAGATACGCATCCGAATCCGGTTTTGGTGGCTGATGATGGGAAGGGAGAGGTGTTGAAATTTAGACCGGCGTATGAGTTGGTGGAGGATCAGGAGGAGAGGTTGGGGAGGGATTTTTAGGGGGTGTGGGGTTGTGGGGTTGTGGGTGTGGGTGTGGATGAATTTTTGGATGGGGGGAAGAGGGAAGAGGGAAGAGGGGGGTAAGGGCGGGGGTCGGAGAGGAGAAGGAGAGGAGAGAGGTGCAGAATTGGATGTCGATGTGGAAGTAGAGGAGAGTGAAGAATTGGATGTGGAGGCAGAAGCAGAATCTAGAATCTAGATAGAGGATTATCGATAGAGGATTATCGATACGAATCGAAGAGGATCGGAACATAACATAACACATCATATCATAACATATGATTATGATTATAATTATGATTATGATGGGAAAAGAAGAAAGGAGAAGAGAGGAGAGGAGATAGATGCATGTATATGCATGTACATGTACATGTATATGTATGTATATGTGCATGATACCACTAGATGATACAAACAAATAAACATACAGATAGAGAGATAGGATGGAATCTATCCGATGCCATTTACGCCCACGCCAACCGCACCAATCCAGCCCAATCAACCAAATCAATTCCTTTATAAACACCCCATTTCAATCCAGTCCAGCTTCAATCCAGTCCAGTTTAGTCCAGCTTCATTCCTATGACAAGTGTAACACCAGCCCATATCCATATCCCTATCCCTATCCATATCCATTGCTCCATACCATATAAAACATCAAAATTGCATAGATGAAAAACGCCATTCATATACAGTCCACCCCAATCAAAATCCTCAACAAACAAACTAGTAGTTTTCATCAGGTTTCACTTCCCCATGTAACCTAACACGATAAAGACAAGTATATGGTACCGTCCCTTGTCCTTGATTACTTTTAATTCTGATCAAAAACTTATTTGTCGCCGACTGATCCTTTTTAAGATCCTCTTCTGTTACGAAATCCTTGAGATCGATTTGTACAGGAAAAGTTTGGATGCTGGGACCCGAAGCATCGTATGACCAAGCGGCCAATTGTACCCAGCCAGATTCGAGATTTTCTGGTTTATCTTTTGGGAAGAGTCGATCCGAGTAAGCTTTGACTCTGAGGAATTTGGGTGTGTAGGACATGTAGGCTAGGAGTTCCATTTGTTTGGGTGCTGATAGAGGAGAGAAGCCGGAATTGGTGTAGCCGGAGTGTGGATAATGTTCAACGACTACTTGGTCGGGCCAAATATTGTAAGCCGTGAGGACACCAAGAGTAGGACCATCACCATTTTGTTGTGGTGAGCACCAACAATCGCCGATTTCGTCCCAGGAGGTGAGAGCCGTCTCAGCGGAAGGTGGGAGGGGGATGGGATGGTGGGCGGCCCAGGCGATACCCCTGCGAATGAAGTTAAGGTCTTGGTGTGGGAAACGGTAGGAAGGTGAGGTAAGTCGAGGGATAATGGCGGAACCGGAACGTTTGGCAAGATGATCCATGCGGTGGATGGCTTGACCAACTTGTCTATTAACATTTGTTCTTGCGATAGCTTCAATTTGAGCTTTGACAACTTCGTTGGCAAGTTCCTTGACTTGTTCAGCGGTGAGTGCTTGCTTTCCAAGATTTGAAACCTTGTGTTCCAAGTCTTTGGTAAGCTTTTGAAGTTCCGATCTAACTTCTTGAGAGGAATCTCTCCAATTCTTTTTGATTAATTCGACGACATCATCCTTTGAAGCAATCTTGCCGTCTTTGATGAGTTGTTGAATTCGAGTCGGGTGGAGAACATCAAATTCAGAACCAGCCCAACTTTGAATCTTAACTCTGTTGCTCTCAAGATAGCGATCAAATTCCTTGGAATTGAACACTTCATGACTGCGAGGGTCAGACTTTGATGAAGTAGGGGGTGGTACTTCACGAGGACTCTGGGAAGGGGATGGAATAAGAGATGGATCAGCTCGAATCTTCTCTCGCATGGCTTGCCAAAGATTTGCTGGGAGAGCTGGTTTGCCATTGTAGTCCTTGTCAAGAGCAATGAAATCAGGAAGAATCTTCTTAATTTCTGCAAGAGCATTCTTATCAATGGTAGAACGATGTTTGAGGAAGGCGATGTCGGATTCAGCGATGTCTAGACGTCGGTAAACATCTTTGAGATCTCCTGGAGCGAAAATTCGAGAGGGATGTTTGACTTGAGATGGGATGAATTGTCCAAGATTTGCTGAGATATCAGAGCCATACCAATGTAAGCTAGGACCACCGCTATTCAAATAGGCAAACCATGCAATGAAAGCAATGGAGCCAAGAGCAAGTAACGGCAACAAGGACTTGGTAGCATCGCCAAAATTGTCGGAGAAGCTTTTTGCAATTTTCTTGAAGCTATAAATATCAAATTAGCTCAATTAATCAAATGATAGGATCAAATTTACTTACAAGTGACCTGGCGATCTGAGAACATTTCCGAGGTTGAAACTAGTTCTATCCTGAGCACCGCCACGCATGTATTGTTGTTCCTCAATGAGGTCCCGCAATGCAACACGACGGTTTACCTCGCCCTCGTCTAAAGAGGGGCCCGAGAAACTAAGAAAATCATCTTGTTGGTAAGAAGAGGACATGATGCTAGCATCGTGAAACAGTTGGCTTTCATTTTGAAAATTTCTATCGACAGTGTGAGGAGGAACTCGTCGCTTGACAGGTCCAGACCTCGAACGCATAGAAGGAATATAGGCGGGAGCACCAGGAATTGGCTGAACAGCAGGCGCATCAACTTATCAAATTAGCTAAAGTCATGAAGATCAAACTGGGAATACTCACCATCTGGTACTGGTTCTTGAGAACCTGGCCTAGGTCTGCTTCCTTTATTGATAGGTTCAGGTTCTAGAAGACTTTCGATGACGGAAGAGATATCATTGGCCAATGGAGCACCTCTTGGACCGTAATTTGGGAGGGCAAGAGTATTTGTACCGTATGCAGTACTGGTAGAAGGTGCCATAGATGGAAGGCCAGTGCTACGTTCAGAACCAGCTACTGAGCCAGCGGTTTTCCGAGGCCGACCTCTGCCTGGAGTGCGAGCGACGGGAATATCATCAGGACCGACAGCATGGGCTCCGCCAACACTGCTAGCAGCTCGACTGCCAGCTCGGGTGGTACGTCTCGTAGACATTATTCGTTATTTTGTTGTAAAGTTGTAAAGTTGCTTTCTTAGCAGCGGTATCGTAAGAGGATTGAGCGTCTTCGAAAGACTCGAGATTAAAATGGGTATCTGCAGATGTATGTATTAGTATAACAATGTTCAAATCTTCAAGGAACACAACCAATGAGATTGTGCAAATCCAATACTCGAAGCTATTTCAACCGGATGGATGAAGGGGAGTAAATGAAGAAGAGCTTTACCTTTGAAGTTGTCGTAGTGAATCGTAAAAGTGACTTCAGGTAATCTTTTCTTGCGAATGTTGAAAGATATTTAAGAAACAGGAAGCAAGAGGATATATCGAAAAGTCTTATTTGCAAAGTCGCTGGCTCGATTATAAGAAACCGTAGCAATTGTGAAGCTATTGTGAAGCTATTCGGATAATTTTCGACAATAAGAACAATAGGAACCCAAATTCACTTTGCAAGCAAAATGGCACGCCGAAATTTCTCGTCTACGCGTCTCGATATGAAGCGAGATCAAGAAAGTGTATTGTGAAGCATTTGAATTGTATGCGCGATATTTATTATGGTTGATTATACTCTTTGGCGCGTGTTGAGGTTTTGAAGTTCACGATATCGCGGAACACATTGAACTTAACAGTAGCTTCAAAGGCCATTTAAGTTGAGCTGCAAACAGAGTTTCTCGCTAGGTAAGTTGAATGAGATTTTTGGAGTACAAAGTAATGATGAATTCGGCCAAAAGAAATGATAAAATAATACAAAGGAAGTATTTTTTTGGATTTTGTTCTTCTCATTCCTTGGTTTAATCGATGAAGGTGGTTTGGAACAAAGCAATCAATTAACAAACCCAAATCTTGAAGCCGAAGCCTTGTGTACATACTTTTTTCGTTATCGATTGGATCTGCAGGTGTCACTCGAAAGCGGTGAAGAGTATTGGTATTAGCAGCCACAGAAGGGGGGCTCAATTAAAATTTTAAACATATGGGTTACCGTACCAGTATCAAGTAACCATATCACCAGCCACAGTCACATATCAAATATATGGGTTACCGTACCAGTATCAAAACAACTTGTATCACCAGCCACAAACTCACACAAAATTTAATGATAAAACCCCAATTAAATGAAATGATAATTCCACCTTTTACTCCGTAATTACTCGAGTACAATGGTTTCATGAAAAGTCGAGATCAAAGTTTAAAACATTATCACAACGTCAGCTAATTTTAGATCATTGATTAAAACCGTTCTCTCTTCTCTAAAAATAGACATATTCTTTTCGTGGGGTTACCTATCTACTGTACAACTAATTCTATCTACCGAGTACTACCTAATACCTACCTACCCTCGAGCTATTGTAGTTACCGATATATCAGTGCTAGTCAATTTGTCGCCGGCAACCAACACTAACCCCACGAAACCCGTTAGCTAGCGGTTAGAAATGACTCAAATTGATACCGGTAGTGTTCTCGTAAGCCTGCTTAGTACAATGTATCTCACTGGAGCGGAAATGGCAAAGTTTAGGTTTTGTTTTCTGGCAGAATAAGGAAGTACTATAATTATGTTCGGTCCTACAATACTATCAAACTGACGGAGGGTGGCTGGTTACTCAGTCCAAATATCATCCATCCCATGTTAATGTATCTACCCTACTACTCGCAAATTAATTATGATTATCATTACTTGGGTAACCGTTGATCAATATAATACAATCTATCTACTAACCTAGATTTATGAAGCAATCCTCGTCGACCCCTGTTCATTCAGTCTCGAACTCGTCAGTTTCGAATTCAACTCGGAAATTGCCCCACCATCGATCTGCAGGCCCCCCGATGAGCGAGAATCCTACATTAATATATTATTCCTCTTCTTCGTCTCTCTCTCTCTCGCTGTTTGTAACTTTCTTCTCATTACAATCAAGATCAATTCAATTCAAACAGCAATCATGTCAGTTGGAACAGTCTTAATCACCGGGTGAGTTATTCCATCATTCCATCATTCCAAACTCTCAAAGTTCTCCATCGGTCGAGTTCATTACCCATCTGTTGGAGAAACTGGGGAAATTCCATCCAAGACTCAACCCCGCCATCAATCGGCAAATAACAAACAAGTCGACAACTTACTGATGGTCCTTCTCACAGAGGTACTGGATACATCGGTTCCTTTACAACTTTGGCCTTACTTGATCATGGTTATAAAGTTGTGATCGTTGATAGTCTATATAATTCTTCCGTTGTCGCATTGGATCGGATCGAATTATTATGCGGCAAACGACCAGATTTCTACCAAGTCGATGTCACAAACGAGGCAGAGTTAGAGAAAGTCTTTGCTGCTCATCCTAAGATCGATAGTGTCATTCACTTTGCTGCTTTGAAGGTGGGCACATCTTCTATCTTATAACTAATTTTCATAAACTAATCAACTTTTGTGCGACAGGCAGTTGGAGAATCTTCCGAAATCCCACTTGAATATTATCGCATCAATGTTGGCGGAACAATTTCTCTTCTACGATGTATGAGCAAATATGATGTCACCAACATTGTATTCTCTTCATCTGCCACCGTTTATGGTGATGCGACTCGAGTCCCAAATATGATTCCTATCCCAGAACACTGCCCAATTGGACCCACAAACCCATACGGACGTACCAAGAGCATGATTGAAGATGTCATCACTGATCACGTTAATGCGCAAAGAAACAACTTGAAGAAGAAGGGAGAGAAATATGAGCAGTGGAATGGTGCATTACTGAGATACTTCAACCCAGCTGGTGCTCACCCGAGTGGTATCATGGGTGAGGATCCTCTAGGTACCCCATTCAACCTCTTACCATTATTGGGTCAGGTGGCCACCGGAAAACGAGAGAATTTACTTGTATTTGGTGATGGTAAGCAAATCTCCAATCTTCTCCGCAACCCACTTCAATTTTCCACCTCCCACTCTCCATTCCCCAACCTCGGCTCGGTTCTCTCCAGATTAATTCAGAAGCTAACCAAGTTTTCTCTCCAGACTATTCCTCTCGCGATGGTACCGCTATCCGCGATTATATCCACGTTGTTGACTTGGCAAAGGGTCATCTCGCAGCTTTAAATCATCTCCGTGATCAACAACCCGGTGTCCGCGCATGGAACCTGGGATCTGGTCGTGGATCCACTGTCTTTGAAATGGTCAAAGCATTCAGTCATGTCGTGGGACGTGATCTTCCATATCAAGTAGTTGATCGCAGAGCCGGTGATGTTCTAGATTTAACTGCCAATCCTACCCGCGCAAACGAGGAATTGAATTGGAAGACTGAATTAACACTCGAGGATGCTTGTGAGCATTTGTGGAAGTGGGTTAGTAGTAATCCACAAGGATATCGTCAAGATCCTCCGGAAGATTTATTAAAGGCAGTTAAGGAGAGTGTGAAAAAGAATGCATAGAGCAGGCAAGCAATGCCTTTGTTAAACACTTTGCGCTATTGGGGTTTTGGCAGAAAGGAAAGGAAAGGAAAGGGGTAATTTTACGATTCATTTTGAGCATTATTTGCATGAGGTTACATTAGTTATAGATATCAAATAAGTTCAATCACGACCAATTAGAGAATATAATAAAAGATTTTGCAATGACGAGTTGTGCATTGGAAGTTCATCGGCAGAAGATGTATTAGCAAACGTATAGCATTCGTTGTAAGAGAAGATGGATATTAAATCTAGTCTAGATACTTTTGAGCGAAATACTACAAATGAATAGATGAATCATGGGATTCGATTTGGGTTCGGGGAGCTAGAATCACTCTATAATAATAATAATAATAATAATAAAGAAAACTATCCTGTAGACATTTGTCTGTCATATAATTTTCAGTACCAACCGATCACATCTTATAGATGGGATAGATGGATATCAAACGAAGATGATTCTAAGTGCGGGGTTCATTTCATAGGGGTCAGGGTCAAGGTCAGGGTTAAGCGGGGCATGGCTTATTAGCTTGTTAGCTTGGCTTATATACAGATGGAGCTTCCCGATTTTGTTTTTATCTTCGAACCTCGATTTGATTGTTAAGCATTGCATTCACTGCTTATAAATATACTCCGTATATAGGAATAGAAGACAACTTATTGAATACTCATTCTGATTCTTATTATAAGTAGAAGAAGATTAAGTGCTGTTCTCTGCTTTCTTGTATATCTTCAATTGTCTTTCTTGATCTATTTGTGTTGCTGATCAAAAGTAAGCAAGCAAGCAAGCAAGCTGCATGTCTTTACGCCTTCTACCACCCCTCTCCACAACTACTTGTAGAACCTTTACAAGCTTCACAAGCTTCACGAGAACAGTACCGGTATTCACAAGAACAAAAATAGGAATAGGAAGAGGAATAAACTCACGCTTACCCCTCCAATCTAATTTACAAATCTCATCTACACATCTTTTTCAACTATCATCTCATATCAATTCCCGTTCCCTAACCACAACAACCAACAAAATGACAACCTCCATCCCACAAACCATGAAAGGTGTCTTGATTGAAAAAACTGGTGGTGTGGAAGTTTTAGATTATAGAACAGATTTGCCGGTTCCGATTCCTAAGGAGGGAGAGGTGTTGGTTAGGAATGAGTTCGTGGGGGTTAATTATATTGATACGTATGTCCTTCTTTTTCATTTCATGTCTTGTCATCTCGTCTTTTCGAACTCTATACTCTTCCTTATCCATATACACCTCACTCTATTCTCATCTCCAAACTTACCACTAATCCTCTCCCCTTCTAGCTATTTCCGCACCGGTCTCTATCCCTCCCCTAAACCCGAAATCCTCGGCCGCGAAGCAGAAGGAACCCTCGTATCTCTTGGACCCTCCACCTCCGCTCCCTCCAACCTACAAATCGGCAATCGAGTAGTCTACATGTCAACATCCACCTACGCCGAATACACCAGCGTTCCCGCCTCCAAAATCCACTCTATCCCCTCCTCCCTCTCCCCAGGCATCGCCGCCGCCTCTCTCCTCCAAGGTCTCACCGCCTTAACCCTCATCCGCGAAGCATACCATGTGCAACGCGACGATTGGATCCTTGTGCACGCGGCAGCGGGTGGAGTAGGTCTTTGGTTATGTCAGTTGTTGAGGGTGGTTGGGGCGAAGGTTATCGCGACGGCGAGTTCGAAGGAGAAATTAGAATTAGCGAGGGTGAATGGGGCGACGGTGGGTATTAATAATAAAGAGGAGGATATTGTGAAGAGGGTGTTGGAGATTACGAGGGGTGAGGGGGTGAAGGCGGTTTTTGATAGTGTGGGGAAAGATACTTTTGAGGGGGATTTGGAGGTTACGGCTAGGAAGGGAACGGTGGTTAGTTTTGGTAATGCGGTAAGTTTTTCTTTCTTTTCACTTTCCTCTCTTCTCTCTCTTTTCTTCTCAGGCTCTTTTCTTTTCCTTTTTTCTCTTTTTTCTCTCTCCTCTTTGCCCTCTCTTTCCTCTCTTTCCTCTCTTTCCTCTCCTTTCTCTCCTTTCTCTCCCTACTCCCCTTACTCCCCTAATCCCCACCCCACCCCACTAACAACTCCAACCCCTCCAGTCCGGTGCCGTCCCCCCATTCCTCATCTCTAAACTCTCAGCCAAAAATCTCAAAGTTCTCCGTCCAACACTCTTTGGCTATATCGCCACACGCGAAGAATTCGAGAGGTACACTAGCGAACTTTTTGATTTTATTGTGAAGGATAAGTTGAATGTGAGGATTCATGAAATTTATCCGTTGGAAGAGGTAGGGAGGGCGCATCAGGATATTGAGGGGAGGGGAACGACGGGGAAATTGTTGTTGAGGGTTTAGGGGAGGCGGGGGAGGTGGAGGGAAGATGAGAGGAAGATGGGGAGAGGATATGGGTATGGATGGGTACATGGAGGAGGGAGATGCTGAGAAAATTTGATTTGAAAAATAGGCAATCATGTCATCTCATGTTACTCGCTTAAGCAAACAAACATTCTCCTATCCCCTATCCCCTTTATTCTTTATACTCTACTCGATAGGAATCTCGATCACTACGCCCATCTCAAACCATACAAACATTCATTCATCACCTTACCCTAAACCACCTCCCTGTCTCTCCATCCTCATCCTCACCCCCGTACTATAGATATAGAAGTAGAGATAAAGATAAAAATAGATAAATCTAAAATTCAGCTACTCTAAAGCATGATCTAATCTAATCTAATCATAATTGAAGCTTTTCTTTCCTTTTCTTTTCTTTTATTGATATAGTACAAGTAGGTAGTACCAACGAGGTTGAGGTTGTTGTTATATAGTAATTGCTGTAGTGTAAAAGGAATCGAGTAGATATATAGATAGATATATGGCATTATGTTATGAGTATGAATAGATTGGTATGAATAGATTGGTTTTTGTTTTTGTATGTTATGTTATGTGAGATAGTGTTGGAAGGGAATTAGAAGGATGTAGAAGGATGTAGAAGGATGTAGAAGGATATATAAAAAAAGGGGGACATTTGTTTTAGATTCCTATGAGATCTATTTTCAAGGAATCTTGAGGAATGAGAAGTCTTGTTTCGGTATAACTGTTGTCGACCAAATTTATGAGTGTTTGGGTGTTTTGAGTGATTGAGGGGTATTGTATTTTATATCGATCGATTCTGTGTGTTATCGCTATGCAGATATTATATAAGGTTTTATGAATATAAAGAGTGTAAAGAGTATGAAGAGATTCAAATGTGAGATTTAGCGAGGAAGGATCCAATGAATATGATTGATTTTTATAGAGTAGAAAAAGAAGAAGAAGAAAGGTCTGCAGCAGGCATTAGATTATCCTTGATGTTGGGGATTGATGATGATGATTGATTGGTTAATGGTTTTTGACTAGGTCATGTTATATTCGAGTATAATCATACAGTACAACTTCCCCGCATCATTTTCTGAGGGGGTTTTTCTTGAATTTGTCTTATATATAATGTTATTCATAGGCCATGGGGAGATATCAAGTGCCCTGGCTTATATATATACTCGAGTATGTGAATACAGGTTCCCTTCATCATATCATACAAACTTACTGTTATTTGATCTAGATTGCATATTGTTTATGTTGTGTATGATGGATGATGGAAGATGCATGATGCATGACTAGATGATGTTTTGGATATTTCCCGATTGATGAAGTACTCGAGTACAATATTTGAAGTTAAAATATATCTTAGCTCAATATCCCAAAGATCCATATCATAATAACACCAATGGAACGGTATATCTGTGGAGAGGACCATCCATAGCACTGGGAAGACCCGTGGAGATGATAGTATGTGGAGAGTATTTAAACCATGTGAGGATTGGTCCGGAAGATAAGGTTAAGGAAATCATGCTAAAATAATAAGCTTTACATGAAGCTTTTCTAGATTTGTCTTGGTCCTTTTAGCTTCTTTGTCCCCTCTTGGTTTTCACATTCATTTGTCTCAATAGATTAACTACAAGACCTTCCTCCTTGGGTTATATAGTCGGAGAGCCCTAAAGCCACAGAAGTTCTTCTGCATCTAAAATATATATATATATATATTTAAATTTGATTCGATCAACTCAATCAAGGTACTCAATCAAGGTCTAGGAATAGAAATTTGAAGTCTAGATTCTGGATGGTGGATGGTGGATGCATTTGATGGATGGTTGACAATTTGTATGGGTCTGGGGTAAGTGATGGGGTAAGTGGATAAGTGGATGGATACTGGGGTCTGGAGATGTTCAACTTATGGGTACAACATCATCAACAACATCATCTCCTCTCTCTACTCGTACAACAAGACTTCATCTTCTACTTATCTCTCTTTAACATCATCAACAACAACAACAACAACAACAACAACAACATCGACTTCTCTCTTTACAATAATAAGAACTTCTTCAAACTGTTCCAAATGAGAGCATACTCATTCTAATCTCTTTACAATCAGAATCTCATCTTCTATCTATTCTATAAAGAAGAATTTCTCTATTATATTCTCTCCTCAATAAAAGCAACAACAGAAATAACCTCATCTTCTATCTATTCTATATACTCATAGGACCGTTCCATCTTTCCTTTTCCAACAACACTTCCTATCAATACCTTCAAATGGCAGGAGGAATTCCAATCTCCACTACACCTCTCTCAACGAGTTTCCTTCGAGGAAAATCTCTCATATTTCCATTATCCCTCGTTATCTCCTTATTTTTCCTATGGGGTTTCTCTTATGGATTACTCGATGTGCTTAACAAACATTTCCAAACCGTTCTTGGTATCACCAAACTTCAATCTACCGGTCTTCAAGTTGTTTACTTTGGTGGAGGTTATCTTCTCTTCTCTCCTATTGCCGCCGAAGTCATGAAGCGCAAAGGTTATAAAATTACTATCTTGATGGGTCTTTCACTTTACTCTCTTGGTGCTATTATGTTTTGGTAAGTTTTTGCATGCATTCAGAACTTCTAGATACATAAATCACCTAACAAATTCTCAAGGCCAACTGCTCATTTATCCACATATCAAAATAGAATTGCCTCATTTGGTGGTTTCTGCGCTTGTACTTTGGTCATTGCATGTGGTCTCGCTACTCTCGAAACTGCCGCCAATTCCTATGCCGTTGTTATTGGTGATCCATCTTCTGCATCCGCTCGTCTTCAATTCTGTCAATCATGGAATGGTGTCGCTTCTTTCATCGGTCCCTTGATCGCCGGAAAATACTTCTTCACTGGCGAGAATGCTCACAATTTAACCAATGTTCAATTTGTTTATCTCGCAGTTGCCTGCGCCGGTATCGCCATTGCCGTTCTTTTCCTCGTCGCTAAACTTCCTGAAGTTTCCGAAGAAATGCTCGAATCTAGTACTGGCAAAATCGAAAATCTCGCTCAGGATGAGTTTGGAAGTGAAATCGGTCAAGACCCCATTTATAAACAATACAACATGATCTTCGCCTTCATTGCTCAATTTTGTTATGTCGGTGCTCAAGTCACGGTTGCATCTTTCTTCATCAACTACGCTACCGAAAATGCATCTTTTACTTCCTCTCAAGCTTCCAATATGCTTTCTTACGCTCTGATCACTTTTACCGTTGGTCGATTTATCGCCACGGCACTCGCAACCATTTTTCAAGCTAATTTCCTCATGATGGTATATTCCGTCTTCGCCATTACTTTCACAGCCGTGGTAGCAGCTTGGCACGGAAAGGGAGCAGTGATTATTCTCATCCTTCTCTTTTTCTTCGAGGCCCCTATGTATCCTACCCTCTTCACACTCGGTACCGCCAATCTCGGCCGTCACACTCGTCGTGGTGCAGGTATACTGGTCATGGGTGTTTCTGGTGGTGCAGTCTTCCCTCCTATTCAAGGTGCTATTGCAGATGGTGCTGGTACTCGCATTTCATATGTGGTTCCTTTGGTGGGATTCGTGTATGTCTTGGGATATGTTACGTTTCATTGGATTAGACATGGAAAACATGTTATGAGAGTTAAGGATGTGGTTGCGGCTGGGTTTGAAGGTGGTCCTTCAGGTGGTGTGGTGGAGATAGTCCATTATGATGGGGATACGGTTTTGAGTGTTGAGCGAAAGGAAAGTATTTAAGTGGGTTTGTCTTCGATGGTGGTGTGATATAATGGAAGTTGGAATGGTTTTCTAGGTGTTTGGGTTGGGATTGGGAAAGGAATTGGGAATGGAAATGGATACGGATATGGAAATGGAAATGGGGATGCAAATATCATGATGAAAGGATCCGGATGGATAGGCTAGAACCTACTGCTGTATATACGCGCTTTTACTTTCTCACATTTGCATGGCGTTTTCTCCTTCTCTTCTTTTTATAAAATGAGATTGCGATGGATGGATGGATCGATACAATACAATACAATATAATACCACGATATGGGATATTAGGATTCTTTCTCATTAACACATTGTCAAGACTTTTCTTCTTTTCTTTCCTTTTCTTCCCCCTTCTTATTCAACTCCAATCTTTTTCTCTTATCTTTTCTTATTATCTTCTCTCCCAACAACTATCCTCTCTATTCTCTATTCTCTACTCCCCTCTTCAACTCCTTTACCCCCATCCCTATTTGATTATTTCCTTCCCTTCCTTTTCTATAATAACAAATCTATTTCTATGAACCTTGACTTTGATATTAGTTATTAGTCTCATCCTTGACCTCAATATTACTCGAGTAGTCTCATTCTTACCATCACTCTCAACATTAGCCTCTATAATCTATTATTTGATTTCAAATTTAGATTCAAATTCTATCTTTCACTTATTCTATATATCGTATCCCTTATCCTTATTCACTCTTCCTTCCCACAACGCTAAAGCACGAAAGAAAAAGAGAAAGAGCGAGAAGGAAAAAGAAAGAGAATAAGCATTAGTATTATAATTCCTCTATGCTTTCTTATGTTCATTTTCATTTCCCTTTTCTATTCTATACTTTTTCTTCTTCTCCTTCTCCTTCTCCTTCTCCTTCTCCCCCCTTGATATTCAATAACATAATTTATAAAATATCGGAAATCCAATGTCCCATCAAGTCTTAATGCTATATCATTAAGAATCTCGTTAGTACAGTACCGAACCACACGCAAGGAAATGCTTCTCAAAAGGGACATTCTCCTCTACCTCCCTCCTTCCCTTCCCCCTCTCCCCTCCAAAGATATCTTCAAACATCCTCCCCCCCCTCCCAAAAAAAAACTCACCTCCACTAGTAGCCAAATAAAGCACCTCCTTATCCCCCACCCCCCTCCCAAAATGCCCCGCCGTAACCCCCGCCAAAACCGTCCAAACATTACTCCCCGCCACCACCCTCGCGCTCGTCTCCCCCACCCCCACCACACCCAACTCATCCATTTGATTCTGCGCTACCCAAATCGATCCATCACCTTTAAACACAAAATCATCCGCCTTGGGCACGTTATCCGTATAAACCTCGCTTTCACCAATGGCCGAGCCATCGCTGCGGATTTGAATGCGGTTTAGTATGCCGATGGCGGTGTTGGTCCAGTAGAGATGGGAATCGGAGATTTTGAGACCGTTGATGCCGAGGTTGGTGGAGGCGCCCGTGAGGGGATATTTCATCTTGGGGTCGTTGAGGATGATGCTGTAAGCGCCTGTTGTGGTGCAGATTTTGTAGACCCAGCCGTTGTAGATGTCGGCTACGAGGATATGGGTATCGTCTAGGGTGGTCATGCCGTTGAGGAAATCGGCAGAGGGGATATCGGTTAATTTTGTGACGGTGGCGGGGGTGAGGATTCTGATGTTGGTGTGGGTGAATGTCGTCATGTTGATTTTCCAAATGGAGTTGACGCCGCTGGTTTTGAGGAAGGTGGAGGAGACTTGCGCGGAGGTGATGACGTAGAAGATGACAGGGGAGGTTTCGGATATTCCGAGAGCGCCTTTGTAGGTGGTGGCGTTGAAGGTGGCGATGGTGAGGGGGGGAAAGGCGTTAGTAGGGGATACGAGGAGCACTTCGGGGTATCGAGGCGGGAGACGAGGAGTTGTCCGTTGGATCTTATGACGAGGTTTTCGCACCAGGAGGGGAAGGGAAAGGTGGTTAGGATGGTAATTGGGAGGGGTAGGGTTGGGGTTCGGGGGGTGATGGTGTTGGGGGAACTGGTGATTGGGGTGCTGGTGCTGAGGGAAGGGAGGAAGGACAGGGCTGAGAGAGCCATGCTCATTATTGAGGAAGCTTTCATGCTCGCGGTACTTAGAGCGAGCCGGTAGAGAGAAAAATGAGATATTAACAAGATGAAATGAGATGAGACGGGACGAGAAAAGACAAGCCAAAAAGCAAGTAATTGGAAAATGAGATGAAGAGGACAATAAGACACCAGAATCCCAATCACAAAGAAGAGAAAATAGACAGAAGTATTATATAGACGCAATAATCCCCCCGCGAGAATCCCATCCTCCAACGCAGATTCGAATCACGGATATTAGACTCCTAATAAATATACTCGTACTCGAGTAGCATACCCATCAAAAGCGGGACTACTGTATTGAATTTACTGTACTCAAGTATTATACCTGCAGTCCATCCATCTATCTACCTAGATATTTTTAGGTTCTACAGGAAACGATATCGAACGACGAATGGAATCAATTATTCGGTCCCGGAATCATCAATATACTGTATTGTGATGTGATTGTACTTGAGTAATGTAATGATGATTGATCTCAATGCGATTTGAGAGACATAAGGCAAAATACTGTTAAGCAAGGTTTTCAGTTTTCTAAGAAAGTAAGAAAGTAAGAAACCAAACTCAAACATCGACCATCGAATATCAACCCCTCAACATTCAATCTCCGTCTGTACCTAGAATACCCGGATTGCGCATAAAAGCTAGGATATATAAAGGAGGGCGGTTACTTCTGTCTATAAGGCGTATTTAAGTTAGAGTAGGTAGCTAGTAGCTAGATATCTCGGATACTTTGCCTCGATGTGTGAAGAGACTGACTCCACTGGTTACTTACTTACTGTATAAGGTTAATGATCAATCCACCATACCCGAGTACACAATCCGTTGCAATCACAATACTATATGAAATACCGTTACAGATATACGGTACTCGTCGAGTATATTTACTCAAATCGGAATGGTACGGACAAACAAATGCGAGTCTGTTCGAAGCCTTGCAAACCGTTTTCCATCCACAAATTATCCCCGCAGCCTGATAACGCTAACCTAACCGCACTAGTCTAACCTTCATTGGGATAAGCTTCATGAAGACTTCACCTCATTGCACTAGTCCAAGCCAAATTGAGATAAGCTTCATGAAGACTTCACCTCATTGCACTAGTCCAAGCCAAATTGAGATAAGCTTCATGAAGACTTCACCCCGCTAAGTCTGGCTTCACTAGTCCAAGCCCCATTGGGATAAGCTTCATGAAGACTTCACCAGCCTGACCACACTAACACCTCAAGGACCGCCCCGAATCAAAGTAACGCATCATACCATACAGAGTAGTAGTAGTGTACACTGTGTACCTTACCCCATTGATTCTATATCATTAAACAGCTTCAATATCAACATCAACATCAACATCAACATCAACATCAACAACACAGATTCCAGATTCCAGATTCCAGATAGATAAAAAACTTCAGTAACCTCAATCTACTCGAAATCCAACCCCAAATCCGAATCTAAATCTGACCTTCTTCCCCTGTCATGTTCATATCCATATCCATATCCATGATTTCGCTTCGCATCGTTTTATGATTATGATTTGACTGGTACTCGTAGATATAGGTAGGTAAGGTAAGGTATACGGTGCTGGATAACATACTAGAATATGAAATTTATTTGCTACAATATCACAGTATCACAATATCACACAATACAACACTCCTTATCCATATCCCATCTCTATCCTTATCCTATGTCCTCCCATCTCATCACTGATCACCAACCATCCGGCTCAAGCTGTGTACATGGGATAGGGTACGTACTTCATCTCCCTCCTACCGATAATACAGTGTATTTGCTTTTCTTTACTTTACTTTTCTTTACAATTTTGGTAAATGTCAATCCCAATCCCAATCCCAATACAATACATACACGCATTTCTTTATACGAGTAAAAGAGATTAGATTATATTATTTGATAATAGGGTATATAAGATAAGTATAGTTCAGTATACACAATCTAAACCGAACTCCCAACTCAACTCCCAACTCAACTCCCAACCCCCAAACCCAACCCCTCAAGCCCTCAATAAAATCCCCCCGTCAGCTATATAAATCACCTATAATATAACACAACATAACATAACATAACCCAAGACTCATCAACCCCCCCCCACCCCCCAAATCTCAAGCCAGTGAATGACTACTCAAAATACTCATACTCCCTTAACTCCCCCTCTTCGGTACAAACATATGGTTTCTGTCGTCCATCTCGATATCTTTCTCCCTTTCCCTTTCTCTTTCCCTCTCTGTGTCGCCATCGTTCATCTCTTCTACCTTTACACTGTAGCTAACTTCTTTTTTGACTACCCATGGCTCTGCTATCTTTTTGCTTTTGATTTCCCTCTCTTTTTCCTCTTTTTCTCTCTGTATCGGTAACCCATAATTTGCACCCACCACACCTACCTCATCTCCACCTACCTCCCCATCCTTCAACACCCCACCCTCATCATCACTTATCTGACTAAACGCATTAAAATCGCGACTCAACCTCTTCTTCCCACCAAACCCACCAAACCCCCCACTGAACTTTCCACTATACTCCGAGAGCTCGAATGTGGGCGCCGTCGAACGTGTATCTCCCCCAACACCAATACGCGTATTAAAATTACCGGATTTGAGACGCACGAAGAGCTGACGGAGAAGAGGGACTGAGGAGGCGATGACCACGAGGTTGGATTCGACTCTGTAGGTTTGAGGTGTTAGGTATTAGATGATTGAGGGAGGATTGGAGGGAATGTGGGTTGGAACTTGGGAGAGGGAGAGGGACACTTACTGTACCCATAGGAAGAAAGGGACGGTGTTATCTAGTGTTGGTTAGAAATTGGCGGGGTGTATATTTGGTGGGATAGGATGGGATATGGTATACGTACATGTATAATCTCCTCGATTGGCAAGAACTCTCAGGTATATGATTTTCATGATGACTCCGACAAAGGCACTAAGGGAAGATTTATCAGTACCGTAGATTCGGCGTGGAAACTATATGAAAAAAAACTCACAGTAAACTGAGACTAAGCAAGAACATCAAACCGAATTTTATACGACGATTCATTTGTAAACTCCATAGCATGGTTGCTGGGAGACAGGTTAAGAAAAGATCGGTAAGACCATTCCAACTCGTGTGTGCGTAGCCGATATACTGAAATGTGATTAGAAATGTTGGGGAATATGGTTCGAGGTTTATACTACTGTAGACTTACGGTGTGATATTCTTCGGGCCAGCATGAAGATATGATGGATGTGTCCCAGAGAGCTCGAATGCCTTGACATCGAATGTATAAAGTGATGACGACAATGCAGTTTGGAATGCATTGCACCCAGAATAATGTCCAGAGACCTTTACGCTTCAATTTGGATGTACCGAATAATTGCAACATTAAGATTATGAATGACATTCGACCTAAAGTTGAGCCCATGACACCTATGGGTAAGTTAAAGAGATATTCTTTGTGGATATCTGTAACCAAGTGCTCGTAAACTTACCAAAAGATTGCCCGATTGCGTTATATTTCATGGCATCAATCCTATCAAATGGATCGAGATATACGTAATGTCGTCCCCATCCATAATGATATTGTACGGTAATCAAAGCTGCCATGGAGGAAATAACACACTTTATCGTTAGTTTTAGACAATACATCAGGGTTAAAAGCATACCATCGATAGAACAACCAAGGCATCACTAAGCCCCAACTGACGAGATATGAATCTCTGTGTCATGCATCGTGCAATAACAATGGTGATTGACATGGCATTCAAAGTCCAGATGACAGCGAGAGATGTAACGCCTTCAATCTAACATTCAGCGACAGCGAACCTTTGCACACTCGAAGAGACTGACCGATGTTAATATCAGGCCCCACAGTCATGACGGTCATGTTGAGAATATTTTACTCAAAAAGAATCTCGATCGACAACTGAAAGAGCGGGGTCTGAGCAGGTAAAAGTAAACATTAGAAACCCAACTAGTCACAAACTTGTGTACCGGGGCTCATCGGGATTCCATTCCTCCATCTTGGAAGTCAGCCACCAAAGCAAAGACCAGATGAACCATTCTCTTCTACCTATTCAATCCTGCCTTGCAGCTTTGGCTTGCACAGTATGCGATGCCTTGTGAAAGGGATCCAAGCCATACACACATTGCCATATGTGGTGGATGAGATTCAAAGCAGAACTGCAAACCCGAAGCCTCATCACCATTAAGCTTTATCACCAAGAACAGAAACCGAACCCGCATAAGATCGTATTTCACTTGATAACGATACATATTAAGACCAGGAACATGAAGTGTCGTCTCAACTGCTTGTCCAATGTCCATCTCAAGAAAGTACGGTGCGTAGATGTGAATCAATCAATCCAACATGAGGAATGGAACCGTGCGAACGAACTTGTCTTGACGGTAATCTTAGCCCACCCCATAATCTGACATCTAGAGAGGGTCTCAAACCCAGGGGTATCAAAAGCTTATTAGCTGCTCTACTCAGTACCGGTGCGGTACTGGGTACAAGGGAGCCCCGTCTCCAGCCTCCAAACGCGGAATATACCGGTAGGTACTGTGGCAATAATATAATCGAAGTCTGTATTTATTGGCAGTCGCAATATTATTATATATTATAGTTAGTACCTGCATTTATTCAAATTCAATACAGTACCGGTACAAACCCCATAGATTTGGTAATAACTTTAGATATATATTACTATACCCAGATAAAATCCATAAGGTTATACAGTAGCATTTTATTTCTTGCCCAAGGTGGATGATTTGATAGATAGATATACAACGATATATCAAGAATATATTCAAAAATTCTTTCATCTTATCGGAGATCAAATCAAATTGGAAAATTGGAAAATGTAGTTGATGTATTTTAATTTCAATTTTATGCCAAATACATACACATACACACATATAAAAGAGAGAATTAATTCGAAAATGAAATGGAGTCCATCTACCAACCTACTTTAGTACACATAACATAGTACATATAACAATACCTATAAGTGTCCGAACGGGACCTTTTGCTGAAATATGCTACTGTATGAGTAGATGTGTGATGAATCATGAAACAGAGATAGGCACTAGCCAACCAACCATTTAAATCACAAATCACAAATCACAAGTAAAAGTATCATACTGCGTAGCTGAGTTGCTGGGTTCACGGGTTCATGGGGGAAGAACGAATATGGATTGCGAAAAGGTTGGGATACCGGTACTATGATTGACGTTATTCTGTTTGTTACTACTGAGCACTTACTTGTACTGTAACGGTATTTGTCTTGATTATACAGTATTGCGGAATCTGTTGGTACCGGTATTGTGTGATATGTGATATGCTATAATATCTGGTGTTGTGCATAGGAAGAATTGAGTAAGGGGGATGTAATTATGAATATATCATTGTGATGTGATGTGATGTTATATATCATATCATAAGGTACTATGTAGATATAACAGGAAGCTTATTGTTTGAGCGGATAGATATCACGCTTTGCTGCTAAGCGAGGTATTATCAGACGACATGATGAGGAAATGAATCTTGCAAAAGATCTTTCAATCATCAGGCAAAATGCTCTTAGGATCCAATCCAATCTCTTCACCAAGTCTCCTAACAACCGTCTTCAATGCAGTACAAGCAGGGCTATCGGGCCAAGCATCAAAGAAGCTCTCGCCATAATCGCACGCCATACCAATTCGAGGATCTAACGGTACCGCTCCTAGGAATTTGATATTCATTTCCTCAGCCAAAGCCCTCGCACCTCCTGTTGTGGCTTGGAAAATTTGACTTTCGTGTGTGCATTTCGGGCAGACAAATCCTGACATATTCTCTACGATTCCCAATACTTTAATCCCTGCCTTCCGACAAAAATCAATCTCCTTTCTGACATCTAACAGCGAAACTTCCTGTGGTGTGGTGATTACCAGGGCTCCATCTACCCCACTCTCTTTCAGAAACGAATTCACACTTAAATGCTCATCACTCGTTCCTGGAGGTGTATCTACCAATAAGAAATCCATCTCTCCCCATTCCACATCTTTCAGAAATTGTTTTATCAATCCATTCTTCTTCGGTCCTCTCCATATCACCGCATCGTCTCGATTCGGTAACATAAACTGCACACTCATCACACCCAAATTCTCCATGACCCAAACCGGACTCCAACCTGCACCACTAACATGTATTTGTTCCGTCTCGACTCCCATCATCTTGGGTATACTCGGTCCGCAGATATCGGTATCCATGATTCCCACAGTATTATCCTCATTTGTCGCGAATGCATGTCCAAGTAAACTCGTAAATGTGCTCTTCCCCACGCCACCTTTTCCTGATAGTATTAAGATTTTGTGTTTGATACCGGCGAGACGTGCAGTGATAGCTGGGATATCCGGATCAGGACCTTTCGGCGCAGAGGCGCATATGGCTTGGTTAGGACATCCGGCGCAAGAGTTTGCCTTTCCTGCAGCTTCGGATTCGGGACCGGGGCAGTGTTCAGGTTCTGGGGCGACAAGTTTGGGAGCGTTTTTTAAAGGATTCGAGATAACATCTTGGACAGCTTCTGGTCTTTCTTCAAGAGAAGGTGCCATAATTGTTGTGATATATCCAGGAAAATGTTGTTAATTATTTACAAGATGTAAATGTAAAATGCGGGATAGTAATAGTAATGGTAATGTCGCAAAATGTTTACAAAGCAGCAAGTGGGATTTGTTATACCATTGACTTAATTGGTAAGGCGGTGAGCTGAGTTGGAATGACCCCTCCGATCACGGGATTGTCAATTTAAACATACTTTCCATGATTGTTGTCCCCCAAAGAACTGTGTTGTAAGTTATGGTTCGAAAAGCATCGTCTCCGAGAGAGATATCCCAATGTGCCAGATTTCTTTGCTTCTCTGGGATTACTCAGAACGTACTCGTCAAACAATTAAATAGCATGGCCAATGGATGCCCGGAGAGAATGAAGACTTTGAAAAGATTGAGTTGAGGCCTCGAATATGCCATATTGAAGTCGTTCCATCCTATTAGAGGTGAGGGTTTTGTACTCTCAATAAATCTCTTCTCCCACTCCTGTTCCTCATCACTCCCCACCATTCGATACCCTGCATACGGTAACTTCAAAGTTGTTGCATACCCACGATTATGGACAGTTCTTTTCAAAACCACACGACGGAAATATTTCGAATGCCCCCACGGTAATCGGAAGAAGTCTTCCTCAATACACAAAGATTTAGAGTTATCGCAGCGCCAGATTGATATTTACTTGCTGCTTCAGTGTGACACAAAATCGCTAAAGCTAAACGTTCGGATTATGGTTAGAGACTCAAAGTTTGGCGAGCCATGTAATCAGAAGACCTACTTGATGTTTCCATTACAGCGAGACCTGTCTGTCGACGAGTGAGAATCTGGACCCAAATGTACTCCAATGTACTCCTTATTATACTTTGACAGATACATTCTAAGGACAGACAGAAGTGGGCAATGTGTTTACTCCAATTTTGCTTTACCATCGAGCAGAAACCCCCACTCACAAACCTTCGTCAACGAGATAATGATACCTGTGAGGAAACACAGAGCAGTGAAGGTACTAGGTAATTACCCCAGTACCCCAGCTTCTATATGATAGATAAGGATGGATATGGCGGGAAATAGCAGGGGAAGTTACAATATGGGATCAAAAGCTGAATAGCTTAAAAAAGATATATGTCTATAAGCACCCCTCACGAGAACATGCACAGTACCGTAGTAGCCATGAGTATTTTTTCCTATCAACTGGATATTTTCCGCTTTCCATCACTTCGAACTTCCCTGGCGGATTCCATCTGATAACCATACATCAAGGGTTCAACAGACCTTCCTAGATGAGTAATATGACATGTCACCTTACATGGGGTAAGATATGAAATGGGTGGTGGTACGGGATCCTTCCGTCGACCCGTTGACCTTGTCTCCATCTTCCCCAGATATCAATTAGGCGGTGAAAATGGCAGAAGAATTAAGGTTGGTTACCTATGAAAAGGGTTGAACTAAACCCTTGTCCTTGTTACTCCATATAAAAATCAAGAATCATTGATAACTGGGGGCATCACATGTAAATTTGTATCAATATGGTTACACACGGTTCTATAGAATTCTATCTTGAGAAAGAAACTTGTTGAATAATACAATAATACGGAAGATCATTTGTATGTGCTGGCAACTTCCTGGAAGTCAACAGAGATCATCAAATAATGATAATGAGGGTTCGAAGAAAGAATATCAAAAAGTGATCATTCAAAATTAATACTTGTAGATTGATTGATAAGATAGATAGGCAAAGAGAGGGAAACAAAACGATCTCATAGAACAGAAACCCCCCACGCTTTAAAAGTCACTCAAGAAATATAAATTCCATGTCATACCTTCCTCAAAAAACCATTCAAGTATGAGAAAAAGAATTGACATCCAAGAGTTGTTCCATATATTATGCCAACAAGAATTCGTCGATTCTTTGTGGTGAGCCATATAATTCGTTGGAATTCAAACCTCCACTCTAATAAATTGGTAGGGAAAAACAAGCCGCGCCGTTGAATTGAGAACCTTGACCTCGCAGAAAAGGACAACATATGGCTCATCCCACTCATTGACCATTCATCATTCAAACATATGGTTAACATAAATACATGTTAACCACCACCTCACTTACCATCTTTTACAGTAACGTGTTGTCATCAATATCGCGTTAGACAACTTCAATTGACCGATTTAAGGTCTCAACGACGTAAGCATTGCCATTTTCAACACGGCATAGTCCTTTCAGCATGGATACTACTTCTGCGAAATCCCAGGATTTGAGTGGCTTGCGGGAACGACATAATAATGTTCCTACAACAAATGAGGATAATATGACGGCTAGTTGCAATGGCTCCGAACCACCCTTAGAAGACCTCGAATTCGAGAAGGACAAGAAGACGTTTGGCAGAACTCCAAATGGTACCAGTAAGTCAAAAATTTCATCCAAACATTCTAAATGCTAGTATCAATAATCGAAATGCCCAAGCTAATCAACCCACAGTATTTACAGTACCCCAGACTCATGATATGGTATCTCAATTACTCGACCCTCGACAACCCAAGAACATCTCAGATTTGACAGTCTTGGTCATACTCGCATTTCATATAGTCGCCCTTTGCGCATTGCCAAGCTCGCTGAAGAGACCAGTATTCGCAGTCCTCTTTCTATTCTGGCGAGGATGTTACAATGTCGGCATTGGATATCTCCTTCATGTACAATCGCACCACAAAAGAATGGTGGCATGGGCAAAGAAATGGAATATATTTGAGAACCCGAATACTGGCAAAAATCCTCGACCATGGTTATACAATTTGATCAAGACTGAATTAGAGACCAAAATCCCAGAAGATTACAAATTCGAGGAAGCACCTATCGAGTATAACACATGGTTAGTCTTTCGAAGGGTAGTGGATCTGATTTTGATGTGTGATTTCACATCATATTGTCTCTTTGCGGTTTCTTGTGGAGGTGCACCAGCCGATGAAAGTCTTGCCATGTCAATACTTCGATGGGGTGCAGGAATCATACTCGTTTTATTTAATCTCTGGGTCAAACTTGACGCGCATCGAGTGGTCAAAGATTATGCTTGGTATTGGGGTGATTTCTTTTACCTAATCGATCAAGAATTGACATTTGATGGTGTCTTCGAGATGGCACCTCATCCAATGTATTCTGTTGGGTATGCTGGTTATTATGGTATCTCAATGATGGCTTCAAGCTACAGCGTGCTAGCAATTTCGATCGTTGCACATATGGCTCAATTCGCATTCCTACTCATTGTGGAAAATCCTCACATCGACAAAACTTATAATGCGCCACCTCCCAGAAAGCACCCAAATAACGCAACCCCAAGTGATATAGATCACGCAAACGCAATAGCATCAAGTAAAGATGGCTTTGAATATAGTGTAGATTCGTCACCTATTCAAACACCACCACTGATTACCACTCAACCATTATCAGTTCATAATCTTATGGGATTAGGCAACATTGATCTATTCCGGATCACAGATCTTTCTGTTCTCCTACTCCAAGGTTACGTCTTTCTTATTACTGCTCTTACGCCCTCGACGCCATTCTATCAAGCACTCTTTGTAATCAATGCCATTTTCTGGCGCTTGTGGTACTCTGTTGGTCTGGGAATCATTCTCGATAGACAATCAAACACCAAGATGTGGACACGACACTTTGTCAAATACGGTGATAGTACGGAAGAAGCCTGGCGACAATGGAAAGGGATGTACCACTTAAGCATGACAATGTGCTACGCGAGTTTCATTGCTGCAACCTGGAAGATGTACTCGATGCCTTCGGATTGGGCCTATGGACTTGTTTTATTGCGACACGTTCTTGGTACTGGTTTGGTCTCTCTTCAACTCTGGACTGCCATCAGTATCTATGAATCCTTGGGTGAATTCGGATGGTTCTTTGGAGATTTCTTTTTTGATCATGCTCCCAAACTTACCTACAGTGGTATCTATCGATATCTTAATAACCCAGAACGCATAATTGGGCTCGCTGGTATTTGGGGAGCCGTTTTCATCACTGGAAGCCGAGCTATATTCTTCTTAGCACTTCTCAGTCACACGCTCACACTTGCGTTCCTTCAATTTATCGAAAAGCCTCACATGCAGAAGCTGTATGGAAGAAATCTTCGATCAGAAGCAGGCCTTTCAAAAAGTATCAAAAGATCATTACCGCCTCAAATCAAGAAATGGCATGGTAATGTTGATAGAGTCCTGGAAGAAACAGGTCATTTTGTCGAGGAATTTCTAGATGCCGCTCGACCGAAATTTGCAGCTGGTGTTTCTACCATCATTAGAGATACCTCTGCACTCTTTAGTCAATATCCAGCTCGATTAACCTTGACAAGAATTGCACCAGATTTGGCCGGTTTCGATCCAAGAGATTATTCCGTCTCGATTGAGGGTACATCATCTGATTCGGCTATGCACAAACGTACAACTAGCAAAGAAGGAATCAATGCCCGCTTTCCACAAGAACGAACAGACGAATTCAAACCTCTCGTTTTCGAATATGGTGCACCGATCAAAGTAAAATGGACAGGGCCAATAAAACATAGCAAAGCTGATTGGGTAGGTATGTACATGGTAGCTGACAATGCATCTCGAGAAGTAACTCGAATTTCTTCCACGGGTCGTTGGGTCGCCACTGGCCCTAACGAGTACGAATCCACTCCAGCAGATAAAGGTATACTCGTCTCGGAAAGAATTATCTCGGGCGCAGAACGTATTGATGGCTCCACGCAAGATTACATGGAAGGAGAAATGCTCTTCGAAGGTGATAAACTCTTCTGGACTCAAGGAGTTTTCGAATTTCGTTATCATCACGACGGCAAACATAATGTCATGGCCATCTCTCTCCCTTTTGAAATTCGCATCTCCCGCTTCGACGACGAAAATTCAAACCTAAACATTTTCCTCGGTTCCGACAATTCCCCTAATCAAACTCTCATCCGCAGCGCTGTCGAACAAGCTTTATTACCCGTCGTACGGAATTGCTTCGATAGAGATCCTAATATTGCCCCTAATACTGTAGATGAAAGTTTTGGGGAATTAGTAGCACGAGATGGAAAATATCCTCGACGCGTGGTGCATGCTGTGCATTATATGTTTGGGATAGAATTTGCACCCGAGGTGGTGAGAGCGGATGGAAATGTGAGGAATTTGGCTTGGAGGATTTGTAATGCGAAGCAGGTACTGGTATGCAGAATTTCTAAAGCTCATGGAAGATCTCTTTCTCGTCCGGTGTCGTCACCTCTTAATACTTGATTTTCTTTTCGATCTCACTCTCGTCTGGTGTCATCACCTTGAGATACGAGACTTTCTTTTCGATCTCACTTTTTTTCTTCTCTTCTACTTTACGGGTTTCGAAAACGCCAAAGGTTCTCTTCTTCGATTATTTTATATTCTTTTACTCTCTCTCATTTGTTTCATTGTACTCGAGTGTGGCATGCTGGAGTTTAACCGGCACGCATCGGATCGGATCGGATCGGATCGGACCAAAAGGTGGATTTGATTTGATTTGATTTGATGTGATCGAAAGAGAGTTATTCATATTGAGATTGATAGAGAACAGTCATTGACCAATAATCCGCAGGCTCCGTATAGTATGTCGCTTTCTAAGGGGACTAATACACCTATTGGGGAGGGAGAGGGGGATGGAGAGGGGGAGAAGGTTTAAGTGATGGGTTTGAGTGGATGGATGGAAGAGTGGATGAATGGCGAGATTTGTTTGGTGAATCGGGCGATGTTGTGATGGAGATGAATATGATGGATGTAATCATGATCATGAGGATGAGGATCATATATGATATGATATGATATGATATCTAGGTAATTTTGGTGATGGTGATGGTGGTGATGATGAATACCTGTGACGATGATTACCCATCGTACTGTTACTGTTACTGTTACTTTAGTAAAAATGATACCCTGTTTTGTCCTGTTCTGTCTTGTCTGTATTGTATTGTATTGCATTGTGTTTGTTTGTTGGTTTGAGTAATACGATATGTGTATGACCACAAAACATATATGAATGCATGGTATGTATAATTATGGTTTGGTTTGGTATGATGGTATGGCACCTTTGTTAGTATTTGAGTATAATAGTAGGTAGATAGCAGATGGAGATGGAATAGTAAAATAAAAAATAAAAAGTAAATAGAAATGAAAGGCACAGGGGAGGGAAGGAAGGAAGGATAAGGAATGAAGGGGAGAGTTAGTTTGAAGGTAGTTTGAATTTTGGATTTGGATTCGAAACTGAATATAGATTTGGAT